ATCTCAAGGACCGCTTGCTTTCGTTTCGCACGGTCCAAAGTAATGCCAAGTTCCTCACAAATCTCGATGAGTTCCTTCACTTTAAGGTTCTCCATCGTTCACACTAGCCTATTGCTGTTTCTCCTGTTAGGAATATATTTGCCGTACCCACTATAAGTCTACTAACAAGACGCGCGAAGAATTCTAACACAGGTGTACTGACACCCTCTACATTAACTTTGGTTTCAGAGCACTCCGACGTGGTTTGAAACGATCAAAGCTCACTCTAATGCTTCACACAGTCCTTCTCTAAGGTACTATAACCTGTGATAGAGTGGTCTGGTGAACTGAGTGGAAAACATCATGCACTCACTGCATCGATGTCACTGACGCCGACCGATCCCGCAGCTGCCATCCACTGTTACGAAGTGCACCGCCAACGAGGTTACGAAAGGCGCCACAAAACTCGCCGCTTCCAAGGACCACGGCCGCGCTGACAGGGAAAGGGCTCGAAGCAACGAGATGTCTTCTCTCGCACGCATACGTTGGCTTCTCTCTGACGCATAGGTCAACTGCTGGCGACGCGCCGCCTGGCTTTTTTATAGGCACCGGGTGGATATTTTGCGTCACCAACGTCCAACCAGAAGCGCCGCTGGCCGTGATGTCAGAATTCTCCAGTGGGGACCCACCGCTGGGCTGTGTCATGATCATCAAATCGGGATCCGTTGCGTCGGGTTGCTCCCAAGGACGAGTGATGTTGCCATGCATTGCGTTAGACTCGCCAGACTGGAAGGCGCTGATTGCTTCATCCGTCTCGTGGGCTGAGTGAGCTCGCTGTGCGTTGCCTAAGACATACCGGCGCCACCGCGTGATGACGTCGTTGAGTTGATTGCTTCAGGTGGGCTCGATCGCTGGCCTTGACACAGATTGCCTTTGCAGAGGCATGGACGTTCTGTGGGGACTCCCAGGCGTAACAATACCCACACGTAGTGTGAAAGTGTCAATCCATAAACGCAGCTTTAATTTTCAACTAACATATGGACATAATGAACAAATGTTGAGCCCAGAATATTCGAACCAATGGGAAAATTATCAACAATCGTGGATACGACACGTCGTACTTGACTCAATCCCGTTTGTTCTGACGGTGCGCAGAAATTTCTTAGAGAACCTGAGTACCAAACGAGACTGAAGTTCAGAAGCACGCAGTGGCTTGAAGCAATCAGCAGTTTTTTCGAGTAACTACGTCGCTGAAAACAGCGTTTCGGCAAGTCGACTTGTCTTCGTCAGGGAGAGCGTTGCCTTGACGAAGAAAAGTTCACTGGTCAAAGCGCTGGCTCTATCGACATTTTCTGTAATAACTTTTAGAAGCATTTAATCCATCACGTGCACTTAAGTGACGCTATTAGAAGTAAAGACGCACAAATTTTCAAACCACCGCTATAAGACTTTCTTGAGCACGAACCAACCTATCATTGCACGACATCATTTAATTTGACTGTACGCCAAAAGTAAAAGAAACTAAAACTATGTAGCCGAGCCAACTTAAATTCAAGCCTTTCAATAAACGCATTTCCCTGACAGGAGCTTGGCTCCCATCTTCAGTCAAGCGACACTGCACTGCTGTCAGTCCAGTCAGGCACTCAGGCTTGAAGAGAACTGGGTTAACTTGTGTGTACCGCCGCGGCCACGTCTGTGTAAAGCACGTAAGCCGCTGGTTATTGCACTGTGGGGCGAAACCTTGAGGCAGTATCGGGCTCTGATGTGGTCAGCCTCACAACTAAGACACGAACGCTCCTGATGCAACATTTCAGAAACCGAAACTGTCTCAAGGTTTCGCGCGGTGGAGCAAAAACTGGCTGCTCGCGTGCTCTCCACAGACGTGACCGCGGCTGTACTCATGCAAAATCAATACTTGCTCAAATAATGGGCCCAAATTCTTGTGCTCACCCGTTGCCTTTGGGAAACTCTAAAAAACTTGCACAACGAGAAATCCCCGGGTTAGCACACCGCAGAACCGCAGAAAACATCTGTTATTGCCCGATTAAGCCATCTTCGACGAATGCATGCATGGTCGACTTGTTCGGCGTAGCTCACTGCGGCTCCCGGTCTTTGCCCGCCACAGCTGGCTGTCTTTATCTTTGCCGTAGTGGACACGCTAACAAAGCGAGATAACTGAGCGCGATCCAACTTCTAATACCGCTGAGTGAGGGGTGAGAAGGAGCGGAGGCAAGCGCTACGAACGCAAGTCAATCACCTGATTCCCGCGTTTCGCCCGATTTAAAATTCAATATAAAAGAGATATAACGCACTTCAGCTCATTTGAATTCAATAGGAAAAGATATTAAACAAAGGAATTCTTCATTGGGGTATTGAATTTTTCTTATTTGTAAAAACTTGTGAAAGGCAATAAACGCGAACATTCACATAAACCTCACTCCGTTCAACTGGATCTTAGGATATCCGGCAACCGCGGTGAGCGTGCATGTTCCTTTAAACCGAGACTTAGCGACGAGTTTCCGGGGCCCAACGATGGCGGTTGGAACATGAAGGCATCAAGTGGTCTAGATTTTGAGTACGATTCACATTTTGCAAGTGTCGGTTAATACTTTAGTACTGTCAGCTACATTAAAGAAAAAAATTGGTAGATCCCAAGTACAGTGTGAATTGATGATATGCGAACCACGAATGAGGAATGGTGATATGTAACTTTAAAATCAGCACAACGTTACGAGGTGGAGGTAAATTATGCCGTACAAGACTTATGTGTCATGATTATCATGTTTGGATGCGTCGTTTACCTTTGCCAACTATTCAAGTCACGTGATACCAAATTTAGTATATGTGGAGCTACTTCGTCTTTCATTGTTAACACCAAATTTGGTATATGTGGAGCTAGCGAAATTGCCGCGAGCGCATCATAAAGGGCCCAATTAATATACTACAACGTAACGTTGACGCGCGTGAACGCTGGCCACAGCAACGCTACGTTAGCAAAACGCGAGCACTCTATATTCTGCCAGCAGGCGCGACCAGCGTCTGTCGGCGCGGCCCGAAGGCACCGGCGCGAAAGGCGACATGCTGCGTTTCGCGTCGATGCGTTAGGCAGACAGCACTGCGTCTGCCTCTTTTCGTGACGGAAAGACGCCAGACGCGCTCACACACGCATGCGTCGAAGCAACGCACCACGGCGCACGCCTCCAAATATATGGCAGGACCGGCGCCTGGCGTGGCAACGCCGGCGTGACGCTACGAAACGAACGCCGAAATGTACTGGCGCCTTTACTGTGGCATGCAGCTATGTTCTCGCATGACACACACCTCATGATTACCATGTTTGCACCAGTCACATACACTTGTCATCCATTGACGTCACGTAATACCAAATTTTGCATATGTGAAGCTAGCAAAACGACCGCGATCACATCACGAGTGTGGCATGTAGCCACGTTGTCACGTGACACACATGTCGTGCTTATCATGGTTGGATGTGTCATTTACCTAGGTCGTCCGTTCGCGTAACGTAATCCCGAATTTGGTTGTGAAGCTAGCGAAACGGCCGCGAGCGCATTATCAGCGTAGCGTGTGGTCAGGTTGTTGCATGACACGCATCTCATGTTTATCATGCTTGCACCAGTCGCATACCTTCGTCATCCATTCATGTACCGTAATACCAAATTTGGTATATGTGACGCTAGCAAAACGGCCACAAGCGCATCATGAGCGTGGCATGTAGTCATGTTGTTACATGATGCACAAGTCATGATTTTCATGCTCGGGTCTGTCACTTGTATTCGCCATTCAATCATGTCATACCATACCAGTTTTTCACCTTGTCAAGTGAACAAAACCACCACAAGAGCAGCAGGACCATGAAATGTAAATCATGACATACATGTCATGATTTTCATGCTTTGACAAGTCAAATATGCTCGTAATACAGTCATGTTATGCCATACAAAGTTTGGTATGACAAAACACGATTACCATTACCAAACCATTACCGAAACATTACCAAACCATTATCAAACCGGCCAGGAGAGCTAGAAGTCGTAGGTGGCTAGATAGATAGATAAATAGATAGAGATAGACAGATAGATAGATACACTCAAAGTTGCCAAAGTTCGCAAAGGAATGCTTCGCATTTAAAAGTGTTGGTGCATAGAGTATTGCTAATAGTTTAAGACATGCCCTCAAAGCTTGAGGGACTGGGTTCAAGCCACAAAAAATTTTTTTTCCACTGTAGTGCATTAGTTTCTTCAGCCCCTTTATAGAAGGCACCACTTTTATGCTTTGAGTGCTTTAACAGAGGCTTTAGGGGGTTTTCTGCAAATAAGGCTACAACTACCCAGATTTTATACAGATTTGCTGTAAAGTTCTAAACCAAACTGAATATGGTCAATTCCATGAGAAAAACAAAAGCACAGCATATCCACAGACTTGAGGATGATGAGTGGGGAAAGCTTTCATCACTCTGTCCGTGCTTCCATGCGTCCATTCGTCAGTGCATCTGTCTGTCTGTCCATCCATCTATCTGCTTCTCCGTCCGTGCATTCATCTAGTGAACACTACACCGCCATCTCGCATCTTTTCATGATATATTCATCATACAGAAGTACCGCCATCCAGCGGACTTTGCAAGGACTAAACGAGAGGTGGATATACCTACTACTACGACTACTACATACCTCACGGACGCACTACCGACAACTTCAGGAGCTTCGCCCCTAAAAAAAAAAAAGAAGTCTGGCGTTGAATATAGGATTTATCTTTTACATTTATTTCCGTGACAACAAATAAAAAGCTTTCTTAAAATAGACTTTATCCAACAAGGAATGAAATTTCTATACATAGACCCATGTAACTTATACATACCTATACACATCATATATGCATTGTGATGCCAGTCCTAAGATGTCTATTTGTAGTGTTTTTCTCATCAATTGTTCTCTCCATTCAATTTGCAATAAGCACTGTGATTCCTTATATACATAGTCCAGGAAAGAAAGAGCACTGGGCAATTTATGTACCACAAGACAACACATATTTTTATTGGTCTTTACTGTACACTTTTGCTGTACAACTTGTTCCAGAGCAGTGATGTGGGTTCCATGCCTCCACACAAATGTATAATCATTCCCAGGGGTAACAATGCACTATCACACATTCACATGAATGTTCACTAAAATCACAAGATCAAACGGCTTCATCTTAAATCTCTTTCCTCTCTTTCCTCTCTTTAGAAATGCATGTTTGCCACAGGCAGTTTCAAGGAAGGCAGCCAGGTTAAAGAGAGAACAATGCCTTAATGCCCACAATATCAACAATTTCCATAAAAAAATTGTGAAGCATTAAGACAGTAAGAACAGGGGGCCATGTGGACCTTTCGCTACTTCAGTTGGTGAGCATTGGTAAAGAAAGAAGAGAAAACTTGTTTTTTATGAATATCAGTGAATCGACGCTCATTAGAATAAAATGTTGGAGTTAAAAAATTTCCCTTTCTGCAACCACCGAAAAGGCACAAGATGGGTGAGAAGCGAGTATCTCTCAACCTTAAAACGAGAAAACTCATTTCTTCAAGCACCATGAACTGTTGCAAGGCCAGAACAACGCTTGACGCATGGTCTGCCCATTTGAGGGAAGTAGGCGCCAAGTTAGAATAAATTCTCTTCTGCCCTAAAGTTCGAAATAAATAAGACGCAACCATTCTATTCCCAAGCCCTTCAGTTAAAAAAACAAAGTAGTATCAAAGAGAAAGAAAGACTAGAATGCTTCACGCTACAGACAACACCACCGCTTGGCAAAAGACAATGTTCAGACAGTACACACATCTGTCGGTCTGGTCACAATGGAAAGTTTTCTTTTTGATCATATGCGAAAATAAGAATGGGGCCGATAAGATACCTGCCTTCTTGATCGCAAGAAAAAGACCTAGAGAGAAAAACAACAACAAAAAGACTAAGACAGTGCACATACAGTATTGCAAACACACTCCATACACGCGCCCCTCACACTTGCAAGCACTAATCAACTCACAGCTCTCGCTAGACTCTGCCAATGGAGGCCTGTACCACCTCCTAATCAATGCGATGGCGACGATTCGGCAATGTATCTCGACAAAGCAGCCAAAGTTGAAATTTTGCAACGAACTGCTTCCAGCGTCTGCTCGAGGTGCCAAATTGGAAATCGGGTCATCCAAGCAACTTCTGTCACCATAGATCTGACAGAAAACACTGAGCATCGCAGAAAATGTCACAGTTTACGAGGGGCTGTTATCACAATTGACCGAGAAAAACGAGATCAGAGAGTTGAGCAGCATTTGCAAAAATCTCAGCGGGGGAGAGGGGAGTAGACTCTCCTGTCTTACAGAAATACATTCGAATAAAAAGAAGTCTTAGAGATGCAACTCGTCTCGTAACACAAGCGCACACTTTTTCTTTAAGTCGCCAAGCCACGCATTTCAAACATGCGAAGCAAACATCTAAAGCCAATGTGGAATGTACAAGGAGAAAAGTGAAAGGAGGTTGTGCTGACTGAAGAAAAATTACCAAAAGTTGATGCACAATTGTGGACCTCCAGTGATTCTTTGCATGCAGCTCTATAAAATAAGAATGAGGCTTGCCTATCAAAAAAATAATAATGAATAATTCACCAAGTGCTGCCACGATAGTGTGTCTCTTCCCTTGCAACAATCATCTAAGCCAGACTATAATATAACAGCAGAGCAAGGTTATAGCCCGGAGTAGATGATATAAACCTTGCAACCAGTGCACTGCCATATCAACACCTTCCGCGACCTCGCGAGAGAGCACTCCCCACTTGTCATCTCAATTTGGAACATTTGTTTAAAGAAGTCCTTTCAAAGAAAACCAAGGACTAAAAAAAGTGGCTGTATCGAAATGTTGCCACACCCAAAAATGCCGACACAAAGGAAACGATAAAAGAAGCAACAGGACACCCACACTTTAGTAATGTAATGTAGAAGTTGATTCAATAAATGAATACACATGCACACAGTGTTTCGCATAGGAGACACTCGCTGCATGTCTTTGTCGATGACTTGCACCGTACTGAAAAATCCCCAGCGAAGCATGCACAGTGCCGGTGATGCAAAACTGTTAACAACAAGCAAAGCAGAAACGCAGTGGGACGAACAAGCACGCATCTCAAAAGCGGCCATACTGACTGATACTGATCGCTTTCTGATACAATCACGCTTGGGTGCAACATACAGGATCGCTACAGCACCACCGCTATATACCGGCAGTATAAACTGAGAAAATTAATATAAAAGAAAAACAAAGAGGAGTGCTTCAACTGTAATCAAGTGTGCATCTTGGATGCATTTTCCTACTTAAGTATCAGTACGCAGTTATCACTGACACATACACACACACACACAAGCACAGATATTCACAAGCAAATGTTTTATGCAAGTTTTGCATCACCAAAGGCAACTCCGCTAGCCCGAGAGAGCACGAGAAAGGGTAACAAGGAGGCCGTGCCCAAAAGGGATTGTATCACATGTACATATTAAAAAAAGAGAAAGGGTGGGATACAAATTCAAAAAAAAAAAGAATCGTAAGGAAAGAACCACGTGCGAGCCATGTAACAACAGCCATATTTGGAAGTGCCGTCGTCGTGCTGTGCCGAAACACGAGAAAAAAACTCGAAAGGACGACAGACACGCTTCGTGGCCACGAGTTCTTGGGCACAAGCTGGTCAGGGGCTGCTGCCACTGCCTGTCCTCTCCTTCTTTTTCTCTCTCTGACGTGGGTTCGCACCCTGAAACACAACATATTAAATTTCAGTAAAAGTAGCTTTGTCTTAATCCTCTCAGCAATATTTGAACTGACAAGCATGGCAAAGAAAGTATGGGGTAATGTCTTTTTGCAACCGTTGTCACACGATTTTGATATTTACAGCAGTCGGCATGTCTAACTTGACTGAGCCTATGGCCGGGAAGCGGAAGGACAACCTACAGTAAGCGATGCACACTGTGCACTGATAGCGGCAAACAGAGTGTCCGCCGTTGATAATCTGACACGGCACGTTGGCATTTATACAAGCGCCATCAAAGTTTCTGTATCGCTGGCACTTGCGAAAGCTGAGGAAGAAACTTCATTACACGCAAGCTGCACGTAATCTTAACGGAACGATCTCGGACATTTGTGAGGCTTCCTGAACATTGCGACGCGATCTGCGACGAGTACTGCTAGCAAGTTTTGAGGGTGTAACTGAAATACATGAAAATGAGACAACAAATGCAGGTGGCACCATGATGAAAGCGTGATGAAAGTAGACGAACAGATAACTTGACGCCGACAGAGCTATTTTTTCCTCCACATTCTTCAAGCTAGTCATGATACTACAAAATAACATCCTCTATTCCTTCCTAGCCTTTATAGTGTGGTTTAATTATTATTGTGTCTAACAAATAAAAACGAAGCTCATAATATTGCACTTCCTTGGTTAGTCCTTCAGGAGGAACCTATTAAGAAAACTACAGTTAAACCTCGTTAATTCAAAGTCATTGGGGCCACAACAAATCTTCAAATTAAGTGGGTTTTTGAATTAACAGAACATACAAAATGTGAGAAGCAAGCAACTTCAAACTATTCAAAGTAGTCAGTGCTCGTCGCTTGCCGTGCCGGCTAGCTTGCGGCACCAAGAGCTAGGTTTTCAGCAATGCGTCGTCTTAATTTTGCCGCAAATATGAAAAAACGGTAGGCTTTGCTGCTGCCATACACACAAAAAAAAAAACCGCTGTCGTGATTAGCTGAAATGTGTGCCTGCAGAAAACAAGACATCTTCACTGCAACATAGTAGCGACACGCAGGAAGCATGTCGACTGCTCCTCACTGCTGTCAGCACGTCATGGTGCAAGAATTCGCACATTCCTTCTGGTATAATTAGGAGTTTATTAATGACTATTATGACAAAACTCTCAATGTGTTTTAGCTGAGAAAAGTAATCTTTTAAATTTTCGAACTTATTTTTCGAAGTAGGTGTTGCTGGCAAGAACTCCGGCGGCATTGCAAGGGAAAGGCAAGAATTGCTGAAGCAACCAGCAATCGGAGGTTTGCATACATCGCGAATTCCGCCATACTGTACTTCATTAATTTCTTTACAACCCCAGAAATAAAAGGTAAACCATGACCCTCTGACCTTGCAAGAAACATGCGATATGCTGCCCGCGCATTATTGCTATGTTGCAGTGAAGCAAGTCTCGTTTTCTGCAGGCGCACATTTTGGTTGACCATGGAACCGTTTCTTTTTCTTTCTTCTTTTTCTTTTTTGCGCAGGAATTTGAGAGGGTAGGGTGTTTCAGCTGCCACTCATTAGTATCGGAACGTTGCATTGCTTTGTGGCTATTAAGGGCCGTCGTTTCAGCGGAATCGCGGCGAAATCGGGATCTGGAACTGGTACATGACACCCAAAGTTTTTGAGTTAACCGGACTGGTGCCAGCCGCCGCTTCAAATTATCTACTCAAACTTACATTGCAAGATACGGGACATTGGAAATCCTTTCAATTAAGCGGTATTTTGAAATAACTGAGTTCCAATTAATGAGGTTTCACTGTCTTGGTAAACACGCCAAATTTTGAAGAGAACTAAAAGCCTGTGAAAAACATGGCCGAATAGAGGCACACATGTACAAGTGCGTGTGTACATGTGTGCCTTTTTACATCCGTGTTTAAGTTTTGATAAATTTGTCTATGTGTCTCAGAGTAATTAATCTACATTACTTCATAACTAAATTTATCCTGAAGTCATTCACCTCCTGCTTCAGCATAAACAGAGTGAAATCTCCAGGCTAGAAATGCATAGCGATTTCATTCATCAGATATATTCATTTTGAGCCAGCAAGAATTCTACTTTCGATGCATTTCACTGAAAGCGGCACATTGAACAACTCATCAGCAGTGCCTTCAGTAAAGTGACGATGTGTAACGGTACACTGCAAATTAAGATATGTGAAGACAGTTAATGTGCGGGAGGTTAAATTTCTATGTGTGCACAATCTTAGCCACTAGTTGACACAACTAGCAAGAACAACTTGTGTACATAATTACCTAGAGAGTGCATTGAACGGTAAAGCGAAAGATGTCATTCACAGATCTTCAAAGTTCCTCTCTCCCGTTTCTTTTTCACCTAAGTGCCCCAAAATATCACTCAAACTATCAACTAAGAAAAAAGCATGGTTACTGTTCAAATTATGGTAACAAGAACGTTCTATGGCAATGGACATTTCCCACAAAGTCTGGCGATGCATGATAGCCTAATACGTGTGTTATTAGCAAAGGTTGAAAACAGTTGAGAAACTGCATGCTTCAAGTCAGAACTACTTTAAACTTACTTTTTGTTAAAATCTGCAAAGGCCAATACGCATATGCAAGAAGAAGCAGACCAGGGCACTCACATTTTTAAATATGTCACTAGAGCTTCATTATGCGCTCACATCCTTTGGAGTATACTTGTCACTCTTGGACCTCGTTATTGTTGGAGTCACCGTCACCATCTCGTGCAGCTGAATGTGTTCTATCAACTTGTCCTTGTTCACAGGAGGACCTGGACATGTACAAAGAAACAAAAAAGAAAAAGGGTGAGGCAGGCATAGTTGCGAATTCGGCTTGGGCAGGGCAATTTTCAACTCTCCAAACAATGCCTTAGAAACAGTGACATGGCCAGGAAGTTGTACACCAGGCCCAAACTGCCTTACCCTTTGCCCATGAAAGCTGTTATGAAATCACAAGGGTGCCGTAGATGACCGCCACCGTTGCTGGTGTCCGTAATCACTATCGCACGAAATGAGAAGAAAAAAAATTAGGGACCCAAGAGCTTTACGAGTCGAAGACGATAGCGATGTCCGGTTCCCAGTGTGTGCTTCAAACACTTGCGAACCTACGAACTTGCTATGCAGCCACTGTGTGGCCTTAAGAGAATAGGTGCAGTAGCCTATATGCCTTTTGTAGTGGTTGACCGGCTTGAAACGACGAAGTCATTACGATAATCACATGTTCTTTCACCCGCTGGCAATAGACACTTGTACCACACATTATAATGCAATATTTCATGTTGCATTGTGAAATATGTATACAATACGCGTGTGCTTGTAAAGAGGCAAGTTTCTTTTACTGCGTTTCCAAGCAGAGGAAGTGATTTTCACTGTATTCACAAGCAGACGCGCGACCGTGTGGTAGAACATCTGCTTGCCACAAAACTCTCCGGGTTCAATCCACACTGTGACCCAGAATTTCTTTATAACTTATTTTATTTGCATCATTCTCAATTTTTCGATCACAGATAAGATGATTTTTCGCTCACAACCAACGACACCGACGCCAATGCCAGATTTTCTGCGAAACAAGCTCTTTAAAGCTATCACGTTAAAATATCGAGAATGGATCCCGCTCCATGCCAGCCCAGTATTCTACCACTGAGCCATGCCATTGCTCGGAACTAGTGTTATGTCAAGAAGGAACATGGTAGAAGAGTAAAATAACAAGGCATCACAGAATGGAAATTATGTAACTAGATGTTAGACAATATGAAGTGTATTAGGAGTGGGTCGTTAGATGCTTTCCACCCATTACAAAGGGCTCAGTCATACCGTATTTACTCGCGCAACGAACCCACCTTTTTTTTTTTTTTCAGAAAAGTTGATGCCAATTCGTGGGAAGGGTTCATTACACGGGTGAAAAATGTAGCGGGAGTTATAACAGCGAAAAATTTGCGCGCGGCTTTGCTTGTTTTGGCCCCTGAAATGCGCCACAAGTCTTTCTTGAAGCCCAAAGCTCTTTTTGTTTCCTCCCATAATGAAAGCCCGCGGATCGATGCCATAGTGTGGTCCAGCCACTCTGTTCCAATGCTCAAGCACATGCTGTTTGTAACCAGCCATGTAGCTAGCGTACCGGCCAAACTTGCCTTTCGCAGCAGGTGGCCCAACTAAATTCATGACGACAAACCCGACAACAAAAACACAGTGTCGGATGGCAGCCCACAAAGGTTGCAGTAGACGTTGCATGTGCACAACGCGCCGTTGGTGCAGTGAGTGCGCTTGCATTTTGCATAGGTCCAAGATGGCAAGGGCACGGCATGTTTCTATGCCACGCAGGCGCCATTTCACCACGCGCTTTGTTTATGTGCCGCTGTGTTTGCGTGCCACCATCCTGCAAAGAGGTTTCTCCTGCATTCAACAGATAGCGCCTCGCCGTAAAAGGTGCGACTTACAAATTTCCATTGACGTCGTCCGTGCTCTTGCATCTTGCAACTGTTTATTTGGGTAGCAAAACTATGTTTTGTTTTTTATTGCATTGCTATTTTGTGATATAATGGCTTGACTTAACCTTTTTTTGAACTTCAACGGCACTAGCTCTCATACCAATATAAAATTTTAAAAATACATTAAAAAGTCCTTTTTTTTTTTTTTTTTTTTAAGGACCCAGGTGTGAGGTTGGTTCGTTATAGGAGCGAGTTCATTAGGAGAGTAAGAACCGCAATTCTTCTTCTTCATCAGTCACCAAATCAGTTAATAGAGTAGTGGGTAAATTGCAAGCGATCTTGTATTAGCAGCCCCTAGAATGCTTACAACAGGTCCTATAAATGGTGCTCGTCCACCTTTCGCTGCAACTGTCCTGTGCTTTCAACGCAGGCCTTTTTTTTTTGTCAAGGCTTACCTAGCACAAAATTACCCTCGATGACATTGTCCTGACTGGTCCCCACTTCAGAGCAATAAGGTGCCCACCCAATCATATTGGCTCACACCTACTGTGAGGGATTGGTGAAGTAGTACTCAACGTTCATGTTATTCACCTATTCATTATGGCTCACACAAACTCACACCTATTGGAGGGATTTGCCAATTGGTACTCCATGCTTGTGTGCTTGTTCACCTAGTCACTGTTTTTCACACCCACTGTGGGGGACTGGTGAAGTAATATTCAAAGTTAAAGCATGCAGACCTTGGCTGCAGTAATGGACACATGCCTCAGCACCTAGACATTGTGACTCACACCCACTGTGGGAGATGGGTCATGTAGTACTGCATGTTTATGTTCTTGTTCACCCAATCATTGCGACTCACACCCCCTGTATGGGATTGGTCGAGTAGTACTCCATTCTTATGCACGCCGACAATGGCTGCAGTAATGAGGAAATAGCTGGCTTTCGTAATTCATCATAATCGTCATCTGATTATACTTTAACTTTGCTGCACGAGAAAGGTCCTGCCTATTGATCCCTAATTGCATTCTTGTTCACCTAGTCATCTTGTCTCGCACCCGTTGTTGAAAATTGTACGTCGTGCATGCCAACATTGGCTTCAGTAATAGGCAACAGCCCGGCTTTTGTAATTCATCATCACCATTACACTACACAAGTCTGCGGCAGGATTAAGGTCCTGCCTTAGACCTCCAATTGCATTCTTGCTCGACTAGTCACTTGGGCTCACACCCACTATGGGGGGCTAAGTAGTACACTAGTTTCATGTATGCCTGACATTGGCGGCAATAATGGACACATGCCTGGATTTCGCAATTCATCCCGACCATTGTAGTGATGCTACATGCATCCGCTGCAGGACAAAGGTGCAGCCTATTGATCTGCACTTCATGTCCACCAAGAAGCACTGTAGAGTATCAGCCAGGTCTCGCACACTGGTGAGAGCCAGTGGGGGTTCGACACTAGTATTTGCAAGCATACACTGGCTGCGGTAATCCACATCTGCAATTCATTATGATCTTCGTCTTACAAGAACAGGCTCCCTATAGGCGGAATTCTCTTAAATAGAATTGCTGCTTAAATGAAACAGCTCCCAATGATAGAATGGTTTTGTACCTGAACTTTGTATCTCTGGTCTGCTCCCCTCTCAGTAATTGAAACATTTGTTAAATGGAATGTATTTTTCAGGTCCCTCTGTGGTTACGTTTGAGAGTCTACTGTATATACATACACCTGCTACAAGACAAAGGTGCTCGCCATGGATCTCCGACTATGTTCTTGTTCTCCCAGTTACGGATAGCTCACACCCACTGGTAGTACACTAGTTTTATGCACGTTGGCATCGGCTGCAGCTATGGACGTTTGCTGAAATTTATAAGTTATTATCACGATCATACTATGTCTGTTGCAGGAGGAAGGTTCTTTGCTCATACTTTAATTACTAGGGTTTTTAGATGTCAAAACCAGAATATTATTACTGGGCACTTAGCAGTGGAAGGGACTATCAAGTTCAACACCCTGTGGTTTATCGACACGCACCTAAATCCAAGAACACCGGTGTTATTTCCATTTCAAACTCATCGAAATGTGGCTGCCATGGGTAGGAATTCAAATGTTCAGCGTTTTTCCATCCTCTTTCAACTTTATTGTGCTTTCTGTCATTGGTGCTCTTGGACACCACCAATAGAGGGTTCCTTTTTATCGATTGCCGAATTCGCTGCCTCCTCGTGGAGTGGGCACGACCTGACCAGGCACAATGACGCAAGCGAGATGATCTTCAGCTGCGAAGATGTTCATAGATCTGTTGCCTTCATTGCAATGCAGGCCTTGCCATTGCCCTTTCCGCTCTCTAGATGCATTACTCTTCTTTTTTTAATAGCACTGGGTTTCTTAGCATACCATTACACCCTATCCTCTGGTTTAGCATCCACTACTGGGATAATTTAATTGGTAGGCCTAGTGACATTTTCATTGACAGGACTATCATAAGGGGCACTCAAGTCGGCCTCTAATTTGACACTGTTATCAGAACTAACATTGTGTACTTTTTGGACAGTCATGTACAAGGCCATCCCGAGTCAAATCTGTGTCCTGTGTCCAATAGAACTCTGTCATCAGATCTACCGTAATTACTCGAATCTAACGCGCACCTTTTTTCCGGTTAAGCGAGTTCATAAATCGCATGGGCGTTAGAATCAAGTACGAAATAAAAAACTGAATACGGTCATTCTATTACCATCGGCATTTCCGAAATGGCCGCCCCCTACGTGCGTCGGCATGCCGCGTCGGCCATTTCTGCCTATGTGTTTCCCATGTGCGGCACTTCGTACGTGTGCTGAGGAGATCATCATCTTGTAGTTCATTAGCAATCAACGGCATGGAAGGGCCGACTCCAAAACTCGACGAGTGCACCACAATGCCGCTGTTAAAAGAAAAGTCATCGCACGTGCGAAAAACGGACGAAAATCGGGCCTTATCGCGATCGTTCAGAGTTCCTGAAGCGTGCGTGCGGGACTGCCGGAAACAAAAGCAGAAGATTGTCGACAGCAAAGCTTCACACAACGGCTTCAGTAGACCACAGCAGGGTCGGTTTCCGCAAATCGAAGAGCTGCTCGGCGAGTATGTGCTCGAGCAGCGAGCAGCCCGTGACGACAGAACTGCTCCAAGGGCGGGCTATGCAGTTAGCCTTGGAAAAAGGTCTAATGCGGCGCCAGTTTAAAGCGAGCAGGTGCTGGCTAACTAACTTTATGAAGAGGAAAGTCTTTTCCCTCCGAAGGCGAACGGGCATATGCGAAAAGTTTCCGGAGGAGTACGATGGAAAGCCTCACAGTTTTCAGAGGTTTGTCCTG